AGAATGTTCTAGAAGGTTCTCGATCGTGCGTAATTCCCGGAATCGAGCGCAAAATTCCCGGAATCGAGCAAAAATTCTTGGAATCGAGGGTTCTGATGACGTCATTTTCAGAAATCGTAGAGCTCACGACGGCAACTTAGCACGGACACCCACCTTCGAAGGTTCTGGAGTGTCGGTATATGTCGGTTACAGGTCTCCTGGTCCAGAACTCCCAAACTTATACTACTTAGCCTTTCGGCCCGTATCGAGTTTCGACGTGATTTTCGAGACCACCGGCCAAGACGGCGAACTAATAGAGAACGACGATCCTCGGGAGTTCTTCGGGACCCGGGGTCAGCGCTAGCTCCGTCATCCCCGCCGGGCCCTCCTGGGCCAATCATCATCGTTGAAGGTACTCGCCAATTGTAGGCCCTCGCGTTAATTTCAAAACATGCCACTGGATTCAAATTCATCTTACTATATTTTTATCGATAATTTCTATCAACTCAACCCTACGAGAAGGACGCGGAACGATATAAAGTCTATAACCGGAGCCTCCTTGTAAACGATACAATTCTTTACTCTAGAGGACGGTTCCGCTAGTTAATTCTTAATCCTAGTCCTCGCGACAGATCCTGTTCGCGGGACTCTGGACTCTTCGAGATGTCACAACTCGTTGCCGTGGCTAGGGTTATCTGGATACTTCGTCCGGAGTTGATTCTCATCCGGACTCCTGTAGGGACGGATAGGTGGTGGGGGGTAGCGACCCCTCGCCCCTGACAGCTTCTAGAGCCTTCCATCCTCTTCGGTACTGGTGACGTTCACTTTGCGGGACGTCCGTACGGGCGGTACTGCGAAATGGGAATGATCCAGTGCGATTTCTTATGCTGTATCGGCTTCCTACTTGATTCGGGAGCCGTCAGCTGCGGGGTGGAGGCGCCTGGTGACGTAGTGCGTCTCCACGTTCCCTCACAGGACTGGCGGCGATGTCCTTCGAGCGCGGCTGCGATTAATGGTCTGTCTAGGCGTGGCTGCTCTTTACTTCCTCGGTGAAAAGTTGATAGTGGTGATAGCCGGATACGAACCGCATGAAATAGTTGGATGGAACAAAAATAATTAATCTTATGTAACCCTAATATAATCGTGGACCCTGGAGTTCCTGACCGGTACTTTTCGCGACTCCCCCGAGCGATGGTAATGCGTCCCGTATCTAAACCACGCTAATTCTATACTTGAGACTTTGTGACGTAGATTTTAACGTCACAATATATAAAAAGAACGTACAAATGTAAATAGTCTGTACAAATATAAGAAAATATAAATAACAAGATGCAATCAATATTTTAGTTCTGGTTTATTTCAAACACATTAAAAATCCGACTTAGCGATCCAACTATTGTGCGAACCATCGAAACCTAACCATTTCACAAATAGCTTATTTCCATGTTTCCTCAGTATCTTCTCCGCAAGATATATGTCGGGATACTTAACGTTGGTAAGTTCATGTTCGTAGAAGCCACCTTCGATGGGATGATCCTGGTAGTCCTTGAGATTGTACGTCACCGGATCAGTATTCTTCACTCGACTTACGGTGAAAATTTCAGTTGCCCAATTGGGTGTACAGCCTTTCTCGAAAACGTGTTTAAATTTGCTGATTCGTAATCTGTCACCGACTTTAAACTTTTATCGTTTAAGTGTGGACTTGACTTTGAATTTTTTGTATACCCGTTGTAGTAGTTCCTTCTTGTTACGAGCAGTCACGTCTGTCGGCTTCATACCAATGGCGCGATGCTTACTGTTATTGTAACAAGATACCAAGTCCGATAAGATATCCAGCCGCCGGTGATTGCCCTGTAGGCTAAATTGCATCCACATCTTACTTTCAGAGTACGATTAAAGCGCTCGCAGATCGATGCCTTCAAGTTACTAAATGTCGAGTACAGGGTAATACTGTGTTTTTGCATAAGATCCTTGAATTCGGAATTGTAAAACTCTCGGCCTTGGTCAACATGCAATTTCTTCGAGATTCGACCCTGCGCTAATATAGATCTCGTAGCTGATGTCACGTCTTTAGCGTTTTTGCTCTTCGTCGGCATGGCCCAAGCAAACTTTGAAAATATGTCGATGACGGTGAGGAGATACTTGTATCCGTGGTTCTCTCTGGCGTACGCCAACATGCCAACGAGATCCGCTTGCCAAGTCTCGTTCAGCTCGCGGACGTCAACATGTCGGCACTGGTAATTTCTCCCCGCAGGTCTATGCAATTCCTTGACCACCGCTAACTTTTTTCCATCCATTTTCCAGTGCACTCAGTCTGCCGTCCAGCTGAGAAATGATCAGAGAGTTGCGAATAGCCAATTCTTGTCCAGGCTCGATATCAGCTTGCAGACGTTTCAACGCTTTCTCCGTGGTAGAATCGAGAGACTGAATCATCAAGTTGTTGTTATCGATATCATTGCGCATTCCAGCAGTCACGTGAAACACGATATTGACCTCCTGCTTCACTACAGTTTTCATCAGGTTCAAGATCACAGCGTCGTTTTCCTCCTTGGGATTGGCAACGTTGCACAGCCTCTTGTTATCAATGTCATGGTGCCCAGCAGCATTGAATTTGAATCCAGCGCTAGGAAGACCACGGCTACTCGTAACCGCGGTCCTGCTACTCAACTAACGTCCAAACACATCGACGCTCATATTCAAAGTGGCGATCGTGATCGTTTTATCGAATTAATAAATGATACCTGCCCCGCGCAATTCTTTGATAAACGATACGATTCCGTGAGAGTGACTGGGTTTACCATACCAGCTTCCCGATACGCAAGGAGCAGGCGAAGCCGGTCTGCCAGTTCGTTGGGATCGTCCCAGTACACGTAATCCGTTCGTTCGTCCTTGGCAGCGATCATGTACCGCGGTACTATACCTTTGCCCGTTACAGAGGGCTGTTCGAACAGTTTTGCATTAACGTTATTAAGTTTGAAACTCTTGCTCTTACGAATTGCACCATCAGGTTTATAGTACTTTCTATGTGCATTCGTCATTACAATAATGTTTTTGTAATTGTCCAAGTCATCCTAGGTTACACTAGTCTCCGTCAGGTACTTTCCTAAACAAGAGTCCGATCAAACCCGCAGTTTTCAAGTAAGTCGGTATCGCCTATATGGATTCGATCACCCTCAAAGCTGATAGGCGAATCGCTTATCATCAATTTGTTCTTGGTGAGTTTACGTACACCATAAGCGGTATCCAATTGTTTATTCTGCTTCGACAGTAGCAGCATATTAAGGGGAGCATACTATTTAGAATTTTCAAAAAATCGATTTTTTTTCATATTTCGAAAGTATAATATATTAAGAATGTACTGGAAAAAGGACAAATCGAAATATTAAATATTTATGGAGTTATTGCACATAGTCGAGAGCGCCGGGGTCCGCATACCGTAAACTAGCGAGTCTGGTAGCCGGAGCGCTTGGGGTGGAGCAACGTTTCTTTCACAATATGTTTGTATAATTCTTTGAAGATTTTACTCCATTACTTGGCGACGAGATTAAACAGCATCTCCTACCAATTTATGAAGATTTATCTAGGGATGATTTACTGGAAAGATGCTTGGGTGGCCATACCCAGAATGACAATGAAAGTTTCAACGCGACAGTTTGGCGATTATCCCCAAAGCAATTACATTCTGGATTAAAAATTATTGAAATCTCAGCATATAGTGCTGCTGGGATATTTAATGAAGTCTGCACCTCCATTCTTAGAATTATAAACAATTTAGATATAATTGTTGGCACCTATTTGAAAGTTTTCGTCGAAAACATCGATGATGCGCGAGTAGCGAGGCAGAACAAGATGACGCTTTCTGAAACTAAAGCAGCTCGTATAGTCAGAAAAGAACAACAAATGGAAGAGAATCAGCTTTTCGAAGAGGCTGACGGATTATTATATGCGTCTGGAATCGCTGATTGATCGGTAAGTCACTAAGACTAATAGATAATCCTCCATCAGATGTAGCAAGAATCGTTCAGAAACTAATACAATAGTTTTTAAACTTGAACGGATTGAGCTGATAGTTGCCGTTGAAGGCCTTGTTATCGACGAAAACTATTATAATTCGCTTAGGTAATTGGCTGAAAATCACGTTATCCATCGTGCTACCGTGCAAGCCGGCGTGCAGCGTCAATGCCTTGACCTCCACACCCGTAAGCGGATACTTTGCCGTTGTCTTAGACAGCATTCTAGAATGCGCTAGAAGAATACCGGGGCTCATTTTGGCGCATCTAACGAGGAGCGTGGCCTCCGTAATATGTAAAGAACACTCGCTCTTGGGGTCCATGAGTGAGAAGCCGTCTCTTGTGCGTACGAGCTGTAAACGGAGTTCGACTCCATTTAATAAAAATGTTTCTTGGTTAAATACATCGCAGTGTAAATGACCGATCAGATCGATCGCCCTGTCTCTACCGACGAATGCCAGGCTATTGGCGAGATTTGTATTCTTGCCCGCTGTATGGTCCATATGACCAGGCGTGTCGTCGTACCGGAGCATGCTCGAGAGATGTGACCTCTTAGCGGCAGGCCCGTAATTTAATAGCGTCTCTATATAAGCCCTATAAGCGTAAGCGTTATTAGGCGGCGATACGAGTTTCTGATTAAGAAACACGTCTACCTGATTGAACAGTGAGTGTAGCAGATTGTTAACTGGAGCCGCTTTACTCAGAACGTCCGGCGCTAACGTGTCCTTGAATCGCAGCTGTACGCGTAAACTCAGCATGGTGTGGGCTAGATCGAGGTATTCGTCGCCGTTACCCGGCACGAATAACTTAATGGGCGAGTCGTCGGCCAACGACGAGATGGGTGTATAGTGCACCCACTGAACGCTCTCTATAGTAATCTGCGTCGGTGGTAGTGTAAAGAACTCGAGCTCCGACTTCATGCCCTCGCAGGAGTGCGCGTGTAGGAAGGCCATGATAGAGGCAGCACTCAGGAGAAGATATCCAGCACGCTCCGCTTTATTTTCTTACTAGCGACCCTACGAGCATTTTTGGGTTTCTTGGTTTTGGTCTGTATTCTTTTACTACTTTTTACTTCCTCATAGAGGAAGCTATGTTTTCATGAAAAATTTTGTTTTCGAGATTTTCATGTTAGAATACTTAACATGGTCTAAAGCGTCAAAAAAAGTAGTTTAGAAAAAATGTCCGTATGTATGTATGTGTGTGTGCAGGGCTTCGAAAATTCAATTGCCTCTTACTCAGTAACCGTTAGAATGATCGGACTGAAATTTGGCACGCAAGTAAAGTAGATATCCCTCTTTAAATGTTGCGATTTTTAATGAAATATATGCAGCCATTCAGATTTTATGTCATTTAAAATTTTTTGAAAAAAAAGGGCGTGGTCGCTCTAACTTTCGTAAAGGTTTGACGATTTAGCTAAATAGTTCTTCATAACTGAAGATACGTTCAATGTTGTTTGGTATTGAATTTCGACAAGATCGCTAAAGCGGTTCAGATTTTACGTGGTTTTGAAATTTTCAAAAAATTATCGTTATTGTTTTGTTTTTTTTTTACCTCATTTTTAATTTTTTATTCCTGTAAGTACTGTAACGTGGCGTCCGTGGGACGGCCAGTTACATAAAAGCGTAGGCGCACGGAGAGCCGTGCCGCCGACGAAAGCCGTCGAGAGAATGCTGACGACGCCGAAGGTTCGTGGCGAGAGAAAGCCGGGGAGAGAAACCGGCAGCGCCGAGCCCGACGATCGGGCGCGCTCGGGTAAGATCGGCGCCGCCCAGAGACTGGCGGGCTGTGAGTGCCGAAAAACGGAAAGCGGACCGAGGCGAGAGATAGCGTACGAGTTCGGGTGAACTCGGGATTTCTTCGGGGATCCTCGGGCCGGGGGGCCAAAAAAGGGGCCACTTCGTTTTGAACCGTGGAACGGGAACCGAAAAGTGGTAAAGGGTGCAGATTTTTTATTTTCGTTGTGCGGATTAGTGACGGTGTAGTGCAGGACATTGGACAATTACGACAACTTGGCTTTTCTTTGGGACACGATTGCGGAAATGATGGAATATCGACGACTTCGGCGCTCTAATTGACACGATTTGGAGGAACTAGCCGACGGCGAGGAACAGGGAAAGCTGAGAGCAGAGAGTACACCGAAAGGGCGGTAAGTCCAGCCAGATTACTAATTCCGAGCGAAGCCGCGCGCCGGCTGGGGATGAAGTGCATCCGCCGGTGCAGCGCGGCACGCGGAGTGGGGGCTACGGGCCCACCACATACTCACACGCGAGAAGATTGCAGCCGCCGGGGAAAGTAGAAGACGACTGCCGCGACCGCGTCCCTTACTAGGATTGTATCGAGTCGCGTTCATAAGACCACCCGACTGTAATCGTTTACCTAGGATGAAATAAATGTAGATTGTTGAAAGGAAATTCCACCGTGTCGATTATTTCGGAAAGGCCGACCGATTCCTGCAGAAACTCGCCGCCCTCACGTTCCTCTCTACCAACGCGAAGGAGAGCTAGCGGGAAGATCCGGTCGAGAGGACTCCCGGCAGCGATGTGCCGCGGTCTAGAAATTAAAGGACCGACGAGTCAGGCTGGTGCATGATGCGCCCAAGGGATCCGCGTAATGCCACGTTAGGGTCAGAGATAGAACGTAGACCAGGAAATGCGTTACAGTACCAAAGTTCAATTGTACATAACTCGCGAAAATAAATCAAAGAACTTCATCATAGTGGAGGCTTTGTGAACGAAGGAAAAGAATCAAGAAGCAAAGTGTAAGATTCTACTTTGCATCATTGTGATAGAAAAAACCAAGTAAAATAATGAGGAAGCAATTTGCAAGGTACTTTTCACCCTTTTTTTTCTACGCGGAGCAACCTTTTTTCTCATTCTTCTCTTTTTCTAACGCTTGTTAACAGCTCTTAAAGGTAAGGCAATGCTTCTCCCACCGACGTCGATAATAGAGTGGCCACCGCGTGATCGTTTTACAGCTCTATAGCTCCAGCCTTTCATGAGCTCGTCAATTTTCGCCTCCGCCTTACGCTTAAGATTTATACCCGATTCGGCGGTCCTAATGCGAAACGCCTGTTTCAGCAGGGCGCCACACTCACTGACGTCTGCCAAGATATTCATGCCGGCGCGCACCGCCTCCTTGCCGACGACTCGGGCTCCTCTCGATAGCAGAGACAGCACGCGCCGAAACAGACCACCGAGAAAGCTACCGATACTACGCTGACACTGATACGGCGACCCCGCGAACATCCGAAATTTGGTGGAATAACCCCCACTGACCTGCGAACCGTAGTAATCGGTGTAATGCGACATCAGTCTAGCCGTTTGAAGTATAGTGTTACGGAGAGCGTCCCTGATTCGAAGGTATGAGTTCGCCCAGCTGGTCTCTTATATTGATTTCGATCATTTGAAAAGTCGTGCGAAGCAGCGGTATATACTATAACGGTGAAAACGAGAGCACTTTTACGGCGGCGTACGCGTTTTTGGTTATCCGTCTGCAAGGGAACCACCTGAAGCAGGGGTGTTTGGACGTCTCCGGTGATATACGGCTCGCAGACGTCGGTGTCAACGCGGTGTCAAAGCATCTTAGGTAGGGCGTTGTTACATTAGTCGGCTAATCGGCCATCACAACGGGCTCTGCTTTTGATACCACGACCGATTTGGTAAAACCTAGGATGCGCGCCAGAGATCGGCAGAGTCTCAGCTCGTATGGATCGTCTAGATCGTTATCGATAAAGACAAGCGATACGCTCGCGTAACGGCCTCTATAGAGCTCTAGTCTTAGACGGCCTATCATAGCCCTAGTAGCGTTTATTTCGTCAACGAGTGTCTTTACGTCATCGTAAACACCATGCGCTACGTTAGAACCCGTTTCATAAAGGCCACTATTAGTTCTTTGTGGTTCTTTATGGTTCTTCCTCGGTTTGGTGCAGTCTTTTAGCGCTGCGGGCACGTGAAGAAAGCCCATAGGGATCTGTATTTCCAGAGCAACAGACCATGTCCCGTGTAAATCGATCTGTATCTGACGCCGGTATCCACGAATTCAATTTCTCGGGGTAGCCGACCCAGCTGACCAGTACTTTTTGGGCTTTCCCACGACCGCTTCGTTTTATTACACGATCGATGAGAAACGTGTCCTTTTCAAGGTCTTTGCGGACTCGAACGAACTCCTCCTTGTAGAAAATACCGTCAACCTCCTCGTCGGCGAGATCTTCTAAGATGTAGACGGGTGGTTCCCTCGTTGTACGTAGGCGTACGATTTTTAATATCTCTCGAGTCCAATCACCCTCGTAAACTTTCGCAAAAGAGTTCCTAGCGCTACTAATGCGTACCAGGTCGCCGACACCCTATTTAGGGATACGCGAGCTCACTGTGGTGTATCGCATGGACAGGTTCATACGTGCCGTAGCGGCGTTATACATGGTTACGTCGACTGAGCGCATTCTTATCGCAGAGTGTCGCGTTCTGTTATACGATTCCACGAGGCTCTGAAGAATATCTATCTACCGCCGCGTATTTCTATGTGTAAAGTAACGCCACAGACGATCATTCAGAGGACAATTGTAGCGTTCCACGACAGCTGCCTTTACATCGGGGCTGCGCGCTACACGGAATCCTATACCGAACTCCTCGAGCAGACGCTGCAGTACACCGTTGGTAAACTCTTTACGTTTGTCCGTATGTAGATACATGGGTATCCTATCAGGAGACTCGGTCGAGTCTCGCGCCAAGTACAGGCAACCCGCCGTACGGGGCACGGCCCGCCGAGACTCTTTACTCGAAACAACTCTTGTACCTGTATTTCGACTCAAATATCTTATGAACGGCTGTATGTGAGAAAAATTTATTGATATATTCACTCTAGGAATCAAGGGTTCTGAATTGATTGCCATAAAATTTAATACGATTAGTGTACAGGATTAGGACGTATTCATATATACATGGCGAGCGAGATGATTTTATTTCAGGTCCGTCGTCGTCGACGTCGTCTTCGCATGTCCATCGCATTTTTTACACGACAGATGGCGCTGACTGCTTTGCCTTCTTTACCTATTTGTACTCTGTATGGTGTTAGTAATTTACGAATACACAACACAATCAAATACACTTTATACGTGAAGCTACCGTTCATACCGAATTTCCAGTGAGTATAAGGGTGCTTTCACAACAGTATAGAATTATTAAGATTTTAATACCATTCATGTGGAGCGCGCGTGTATGGGTGTACGTATATGTGTATTTCTATATAGTTTCTCGTATTTTAGATGATAGCTTTTAGAGATATAGGATGTCCAGGTGTTCCCCTCCGTACTTTCCTGTATCTAGGTGGCGGACGTGGAAGTCCAGGGTGTCCTGGTGTTCCGCTTCGTAGTTTTCTGTATCTAGGTGTCGGATGTAAAAGTCCAGCGTGTCCAGATGTTCGCTCCGCAGTTTCCTGTATCTTGGTATCGGATGTAAAAGTTCAGGGTGTCCAGATGTTGCGCTCCGTAGTTTTCCTGCATCTAGGTATCAGACGTGGAAGTTCAGCGTATTCAGGTGTTCCGCTCTGTAGTTTCTTGTATCTAGGTACTGGATGTGGAAGTCCAGGGTGTCCAGGTATTCCGCTCCGTAGTTTCCTGTGTCCAGGTGTTGGATGTGGAAGTCCTGGGTGTCCAGATATTCCCCTCCGTAGTTTTCTGTATCTAGGTGTCGGACGTAGAAGTTCAGAAAAGTGTGCAACAAGCTTTGGCGCTTCGCTCAAATTATAGTATCCTCTCTGATGTTCGCACGGCCTGAGGTACGTAAATAATCCAGCACACTCTCCTCTTTTACGTTTACCACACGGCTTCAACAAGCTGGACACCATTAGCGACGCTTATATAGATTGAAGATTACATTTTCTTTAAAAATTTATATACGTTTTTATGCATTTCTAGAAAAAGGGACTTTCAAATTAAATTGATATCCCATTAAACATT